GTATATTATTTCTTTTTTTTAACTGTGATGATCATGTGTTTTGCACGAGAACAAATGGTGTTGGTGTTAAACCTTAGCATGGATAAGACGGGAAATGATATAATTTTAGATGTTTTTGTTAATTATACATTTTATAATATTTTAAATGTGTGTAGAAAATGTCCAATGAGGAGACAAATTATATTTTGAAAACAACTTATTCATGTAAGTTATATAAATATCTATAATATGTGTTTTGGGGATATTACATTTATCGTATAAGAGCAGGTCGTGTCCTAGGTTGATATGAGGGGAGTGGGTTGGCTATGTTTTAACTGGGTGGTTGACCTTGTGTTTTGTAGTTATTAGTTTAGTTATGATGTATTTAAGAATCTAAGTTAGATTGTTTCTAATTTTATTTAATAACATGTGTTCTTATGTTATCTTGGATAACCCTTAGACACTTTATCCCTTTTTCTTTTGTTCATATATATGTCCTTGACCTATTTGGTTAGGTTATTTCTTTTTCATCTTGGTATGGAGTAAGATAAACACTTTAAAGAAGAAATAAACCTTGATAGAGTTGCGAGGTTGCACACTCAACCCCTTAAAGTATCAAATCTCGTAAGGTTTAAGTTGCACATCTAGTACAAGTTTATGCATTTTTTGTTATTTTAGAGTGACACATTCTTTTTTGTAAAGAATATGTGTGGACAAGGTAGGTTTGCTAGTGATAGAGCTTCTGTTAGTGTCAACAACATCATATAAGTTGGTGACAACATCCTTGATTTCTATAGAATGCCCTCTGATAGTAGAGGGATGTAGACCAACTTGATTTACCTACCTCTTCAAGACTTAGATGAGGTCTTAGGCATAGATTAATTGGTTATTAATCACATTTTCATAGGTTGTGACTAATATAAAACTGTATTTCTAAATCCATTGGAGGGAGAATTGTTGTCAACCTAACAAGTATAGAATGAGTTGGAAACGAGAGCTAACTACTTGGTAATTCTAACATAGATGGAGATTGGTGATGAGAGTTATATTAATGACATATTTGTTGTGAGGAAGTTTCTAGATGTATGAGCAAGTGTCCAGGCTACATCTTAAGAGATAGGTAGATTATTTTATTGACATGGTGGTAGGGCCAGGACTAGGACTAGTTTCAAGGGTTCCATAAGGAATGACTCTGAGTTAGTGGAGTTGTAAAAGCAAGTAGGGGAATTGTTGAAAAAAAATTTATATAACCCAATGTGTCACCATGGTAAGCTTCAATTTTGTTGGTAAAGAAGAAGGATGAGGGATCTAGATTGTGTGTGAAATATCGTTGACTAAATATGTTGACCATTGAGAATGAGTAACCACTGATGAAAATTAAGGATATAGTGAACCAATTACATTGAGTACAAATATTAGTGAGTGATGAAGATGTCTAGAAGATAACTTATAGATCTCATTATAACCATTATGAGTTTGGGGTGATATTATTTGGAGTAAACAATGTCTTGTCTCTAATTGGATAAAATATAGCTCTTGGGACATTGTCATATCAATTCTAATTTTAGTGGATCTTGGTATGGTGGAGGTAGTACTTCAAATAAAGCATCCTAAGATCATTGTTGCTGAGATAAGGAGTTTTGTAAGGTTAAGTGGTTATTATAAGATGTTCATGGAGGGATTCTCTAAAATTTTGGCAACCTTAATAATTGACTCGTAAGGATTAACCTTTTGCTTGAATGGATAGCGACAGAGTATATATTCCAAGGAAAAGAGACAAGGACTCTATCTCAGGTATATTTTCGCTCAAATAAAAATATTTCACTCAAGTGAAAAGCTCTTAATGGATTGAGGTTTGTCACAAGTGTATAGGGATGACAATTAAACCCGTACCCGTGGGGACCGACTCATCCCCGATCCCGAGTTTGACGGAGAAAACTCGAGTTGATCGAGGCGGATTTGGGTTTTCCCGCTTTAAAAAGTCGAGGCGCGGATGGGTAATGCAATCCCCACCCGACCACTGTCACCGCCCGACTTTATATTTAAATTTTAATTTTAAAATATTAATATTTTAAAAGGATTTTCTTTTCTGTTTCTATTACATATAAGACCATTTTTTATATTTCACCATTTTTATTTTTCTTCTACCCACCTTTTTAATTTTTTATCTTTTATATTAATTAATTTATTACATTATTCTCTCTTACCTTTCTGTTTTTCACATTTTCTTAATCTCTCCCATCAATTTGTTTTTTTTTTCAATCTTTTCAACCAATTTGATGAATACAAAGTTAATTTTTTTTCTTCTTTATCTTTTTCTAAATATTTTACATAAATCTTAGTAATAATTAATGTTATTTCATTTATAATTTATATTTATTAGGTTTTATTATGTTATAATTTTTTATCTTATCATTCTTATTTATCATATATCAAATTTTATGTTAATAAAATAATTATATTTTAAAATATTAAAAGAAATTGATAATTTAAAATTTTATTACTTCGAACTAATTAAATAAGAATTGACTTATTAAATATTTTCTTATAAACTATATATTTTATATTTTTAAATGACAACTTAAAAATGAATTAACTTATATATGTAATCAAATGTTTAAATACAGTATTATAATAATAATAATAATAATAATAATGTTATAAGTATTTAAATATTTGAATACAGATGTTATAATAATAATAATAATAATAATAATGTTATAAATATTCTATATATATATATATATATATATTAATAAATAATGATTAAATATTTATTTTATATACATATTTTAATATAAATATAATAAATTAAAATATATATATTTAATTAATAATAATTATAAATTATAAATATTTATTTATATATAAAAAATACATAGTAAAATTAATTTATTATAAATATAATTATCTTTTTAAAAATAATATAAATCGGGGACTGGGCGAGGGCAGGAAACCCGAAACCCAGCGAGGACTGGGACGGGGATGGTGACTTAATTTCTAACCCCAGCGGGATCGGGGACTGGGATGATTAAAAAAGTCGGGGCGGGGATTGGGAGGCAAAACCCGCCTCGCCCGCCCGCCAGTTGCCATGCCTACAAGTGTACTTTCACTCAACCGAAATTTCCCAACAATTTTCCGTCCAATTTTCTAAAAATCATAAAAATTTGTTACGAACTCTAAATTTAACGTTCCATATACCCAAATTAAAGCCTTGAAAATGAGGAATCCAATAAAACAAAACTCAATAAGAAAGGATATCTACAAAAAAATTATGGTCAAAATAATAGGTAGTGGCCAAATTAGAAAAATATATTTTATTTATAAATGTGATAAATGGTATGTGTATAACTTAAAATGTTAGAATATATGTGATTAACATGAAATGAGGTGTGTCAAATATTATATGCATATTAAAAATATTTTGTTGTAATGTGAGAAATACCATAAGATATCTATATATGTACGTTATATCTATGATGAATGTATAAGATAATGTGGTGATGTTTCGTGTGCTCTTGATACTGTGATATATCTATTGAGACTTAGTCAAGTCATAAGAGTGATTCATAATCAACTGAAATATACCTATGCATGTGAGGCTAAGTTGAGCCCGATATATAATCCATAATCGACTGAAATATATATGGTTGTGAGTACCTAGGGAGGTACTATGTTGTAAAATGTATAAGAATATTGAATTGAGATTCTGAAGGAGATCATCCTGACTCTACCGATCATTGGGATAACATAGATGAAGATATTAAGTGGTGGGAATTGAATGAAGTTTCTATGACTTGACTTGTGATGTGAAAAAAAAAGTATGTATGACTAATCAAAGAGATTTACCTTGTCACATGAAGAAATGTGTTTCAAGTAAATAATTATATTAGAGATATCCACTTAAGGAAGATAGTGTTATAGGTGTAAAATGTCCGAGTCTAATTCAATATCCGGTTTTCCGGAAATCGTCAAGAGTTTGTATGAAATAAATTGATACGATGTGATATATTTGGAATGAATATGCGTAGAAATATATGTAAAAATGCATGAAATTGTAATTTTAGAAGAAATTTAAGTTTAACTGGATTATTTCAAATTTAAAATACTAACTCATTCTATGTATTTTGTATATTGTTTTTATTTTAACTATAATGATTCTATGATTTATAGAGAATAGATGATTCGGGTTAAACCTAAATCAGAATAAAACAAAAAATAATAAAATCTTATATGTTTTTATTAATTTTATATTTTATGATATTTTAAATATACGTAAGATATGTTACTATTATAATTATTTTATTATATTTTCTTTTGTATTCATATTTGACTTTATTAATCTCTATCAATTTCCTTTCAAGTGAAGATACTGGATTACTTACCCGAAAAGAATTAATTTAATTTTTATCAAGATTGGAGCATCATGTTGAAGTGTAATATTGAATTTTGGTAGCCGTGTGTACTATGTAATTATTTTCTTGTTAGTACCATTTTCCCAACAAATATGCCTAACATGTTCAGATTCAAAATATTCTTGACCACGCCCTCTTAGTTATATAAATTTATCTATTTAATAAATTAAAAATATATTTATTATTTACCTAGTTTCTATTTATCCATCTCTAACAACTTTAAATTTATATTCATATGTCATTCAATTTCTACTCAAGTCTTCAATTCAAATTTCTATTCACAGGTCCCAACTCCCGCCTCCTAGCCCTACTTTCTTTCTATTAAGATATAATATTAATTTTACTAATTAATATAATATTAATATTTCTTTTAATTTAATGAAATAAATCGAATTCTTATTATATCCTTCGCCATCCTAACTCGTGTGTGCTCGCTCGTCGCTATTGCCGTTCAAGTTGTCACTGCCTCTGTTTTTTTGTTGTCGTCGCTGCTGCCGTCGTTCAGTGGTTGCAGTCGTAGGAAATAGTTTGAGGTACGAGATCTTCTCTTTCTTTCTTTTTTCTCTTATTTTTGCCTTATAACACGCGATCTCCATCTTCTATTACTCACTCAATGTTGCTTTGATCAATGTCAGTTAATGTGTTTGTTATTCGCTCTCGTTTTTTCTCAAGGATTCCTTCGTGTGGAGCATTCTGGATTTTTGGGTGAGTTCGTCCATTCTTTAAGGTTAGGCATTTCGTGTATTTTGTTTTTCCTTTACGATTTGGCATTTTGATGCTGATCTGGCCGATTGATTAATTTACAGAGTCATTCTCATGTAGTCAAAGTTTGTTTTGTCAAAGCAGCATTTTTATGTTATGTAGACTCCAATTAGTCTTAACAAGGTGTAAGATATTTTGGGCGAAAGACATATGTATTCTTGATGTATTATTTGTTTGCAATTGTGTCATGTGTAGGTATAGGTACCTCAATGGATTATGATTAGTTTGAACTGTAGTCACCAATACATGCAAAAACACCAGTAAATTGTTTTTCTATGTATGTGCTATGTAATGTAAGGCTTAAATGATGACATCAGTATAGCAATTGAAGTATATGGTGTCTCATCCTTCTTTTTAAAAAAAGAAAATAATAAAAGTATTCATAAACTTGAAATCTATGATGGGCTGGCACAGGCTAGGCTACTCATATTCTCTACAACCCGTAGAACTTTCACAGCAGCTTTCTTGCAAAAATTCACTTATTTCCTCACATCAATAAGAGAGACTTGTTGAGGAATGGTCACTATAATTGCACCATCTACTCCAGTGGTATCAAGGCATTGAACAATGTAAATGTGTCGATATGAGGTTCCAGGTGGAGCATCAACGATTAGAAAATCAAGTTGACCCCAGTACACATCTTTTAGAAACTGCTTGATAAGTCCACTTTTACGTTGGCTTCTCCATATAACACCTTCATCAGGTCAAGGTTGTGGAACATGAATCCAATTGACATGACCCCAAGGTTGATCTGGTGTATTTTTTTACCTTCTAGGCGAAGCATTTTAGAATGCTTGGACCACAAATATCAACATCAAGAAGACCCAACATTAAGAGACTGTAGTGGGTTCTCATAATCTGTTTCCATCCTCCATACACACTAAATACAGTTTGGATATTTTATTATAACCAATCGGTTCAAGTCATTATCTGTTTATTTCTACAAACCTGTTAAGCACTTTGTTTTTTTTTGTGTTATCCCTTTTATTATCTCACTTTGTGACTGTCACAGACCTAATTGTTTCTGTTTAATAGCTAACTTATTCATTTGGTAGGTGTGGCATTCAATTTGAAGCTTATTATCGTGTCAATTAGAGTTCTTAATTGAGGACAATTTATGTCTAGACTTGAATGGTATCCCACACATATGGTTCATTAGAATATATGTTCTTGTCGTCTAAAAGATTATAAGAAGGAACTGTTTACTAAGTGGTATGCTAGATTTTACTGTGTAAAAAGTTGACAGAGCTACAACAACACACAATACTAGAACTATAAATTCAACTATTGAAAATTTGAATATGAAAAGTTGTCACTGAAGCTGAAAAATGCATTTCTCTTAATAGGTCACAATGAAATAACAAATGCTAACACAGGTTCTAAAACACACAAGAGTTAACAAAGAGAATAAGATACCAACAAATTTCAAGAAACAATTTTCTAAAATTCTTATACATTAGGTTCAAATCGAACTTACCAAACGGACTCCATTAATTTTAGCAGAACAATAAAAAAAGAATTTTAATTGAAGCTAAACTTTTTACTTAATTACTCATAACTATATCCATAATTTTCATTTAAAACCTTCAAATAGCAATAAAAATTATTCATAGCTTAATTACTCATCTCTATGGCTCTGACGATCTGGCTCAGCTCAGAAGGGTGAGGAGGAGGGATAGGGGTCCATCTAAGACACGACAAGCATAATACTCACTTACCTCAAGTCAATCTAAGACACGACCTACTCTGATATCATAAATGTAACAGTTACAAAATATACCTACCATAGATATATGGCTTTATCTTCCTCTTGAATGTTTTCCTTCCTTACAACCAAGGTGTTCAAAAAGCGGTTGCAAAGGAAGGATTGATGATTAAATCCTTTATTTTTGCTTCATTGTATTTTCTACATTCATGGAAAAATTTAAATATATATTTTGGTATAAGACTTGTCACGCACACATAAAGCGTGAGTTGCATCTTCTCCAAGATTTCACTCCCATAGGCCCACTGAAGGACTTAGTAAATGGGAGTAATTTTATTTAATTAGGATAGACAATATGAGAATGGGCCCAAACATTTCTTTGCAAACACGAAAAATAATATGATCACATGAATCATATTCATAGTATAGACACACACAAAAACATGGTAGCATACACTTTACAGATAAAATGGTGAGGACCTCCAAGATATGCTTTATTGCAATAACCAACATTTTAAATTTGTTCTAGTCTATTAAAAAACAATTAATTATTTCAACATAATGTGAATTGCTTTGCTTGCATGCATTGCGAGGCCAAATGCAATCACATTGAGGCCATATTATCAGATTCATTGTCGAGAAGGAAAAAGCCCATATTATGTGACACACCTTTCATTTTCTTTGCTTTGTGTATTTTGATGATTTGAGAGTTGTGGCATCATAGTTCTGCTCTACGTGCTTTTAGCTAGTTCTTAATGTAAATTTTAATTGATGTTTTGGCATTGAAGCCTCTACAGGTGTTACAGTGCGTTAGCTAGCTAAAAAGTAAGATGTCAGCTGGGCCTGGACTTGAGTCTCTTGTAGATCGTAAGCCATCAATAAATATCTATATTTTGCATTGATTTTTATATTCAATACATAGTTATATTATTTACTGTGCTTATTAGTAACAATTATTTATACTAATGAAGCATTGGAAACTAATTCTCCATCAAAGTTTGTTTCCATTATCTGTGAGATATGCTTTAAACCATTCTAGTAGTTATTGCCCTTCGCTGAATCTTTTGGTTTTTGACAGAGACAATTTCAGTCATTACAAATGATGGACGGAATATAGTGGTAAGCTTTTGTATGTAGAAAATTAGCTTTTAACTGTGTTAATAATTGTCATTGCTCAAACTTCTATTTACTATGCTTTTTTGTTCAGGGAGTCCTGAAAGGTTTTGACCAAGCAACAAATATAATTCTTGATGAGTCCCATGAACGAGTTTATTCTACAAAGGTGTGCCGAAAGTATGCAATTGCAGAAACATTCCTTCAAAAATTAATGAGCCATAACTTTAATGAACTTAATATTTAATTTAACTTCAAAACTTAGCATCTCTAAATTGGGTATTCTTTCTTTTGAGCGTAAAGTAAGCCCATTTTTACCATTCAATGTTTTAACGGCTAAGATTGACCTCTTTCATTATAAAGTTCTTAAATTATTAAATGTGAAACACACAAAACTTATGCCTCTTCCCTTCTTGTTCTCTATTAGATCATTAGATGACATGCAAGGCTACCATGCAGAATTAGATTCTGCATTATGCAATGGGCTAGATCCATGTCTACCATGCTAGTGCTCGTTGTTAGATATATTTGAGAGTGAGGCATTTGTCTAAGAAAGACCAGTTGTTGCAAAATTGGTTTTGTAATCCCAAAATCGCAACCACAACCAGAACCACAATATCTTTATCTTACTAAGAGAGGTCTATTACATGGATCATCTTTATCTCAAGGATAATTCATCATGAGACTCTTTGAGTAATTTCCTTGAATGTCCTTCTATGTCTCCCCTTACCCATTTTCAGAAGACTGAAAATCATGTGATATACTCCCTTCATCTGTCTCTAATAGTCTTCTTTGTACATTTCCAAACCACCGTAATGTTATGACCCTGTAAAACAAACTAAAGCCTTTCATTTGGGGTAGAATATATATATATATATATATATATATATATATATATATATATATATATATAATTTCCTTGAATGTCCTTCTATGTCTCCCCTTACCCATTTTCAGAAGACTGAAAATCATGTGATATACTCTCTTCATCTGTCTCTAATAGTCTTCTTTGTACATTTCCAAACCACCGTGATGTTATGACCCTGTAAAACAAACTAAAGCCTTTCATTTGGGGTAGAATATATATATATATATATATATATATATATATATATATATATATATATATATATATATATATATGAAAATGGGAAGTGCTGATGTCAGCTATTAAAATTCTCGACAATAAAGATCGTTTTACTTCCTCTAAATTTATATCGTTCACTTTAGAAAAGTCAATCTTTGAACTATAGATTGTGGTACTACGAAGTGTCAGTTCTTTATTTAATTTGCTATAATATATATCCCCAAAGTGAATCTTTGCTTCATTTGAATTTCTGTACTAGCTGCATATTTTTTCTTGAAAGCCTTGTAAAAATTTTATGTCTTGCTGGTGTCATCATCGCAGTTTGTGTTTCTAACTGCAGGAAGGTGTACAACAACTTGTTCTTGGTTTATACATCATCAGGGGTGACAACATGTATGTCCCTTACTCCTTCATTTTTCAATTTGTCCATCATATAGATTTCATATTGTGGACTATTTACATGCCCTAAAATTTGTCTGGTTTCCCTTTGATCATTGCAGAAGTGTTGTTGGTGAACTGGATGAAGATCTGGATTCTAGTCTGGATTTATCAAAACTTAGAGCGCATCCCTTGAAACCTGTAATCCATTGAGTGAAAATACTCCGTATGGGTTTTCAATGAGTACATGTCTGTAGGGTTGAAAGAGTGAGTTTTGCGGCATTATGTACTAGAGTAGGGCGTGAAACTCTCTAAAAATATGAAGAAAGCATAACATTTTTAATATTTTGATTCTATTGGCATGTGAGTTTTGTCAAACCAATGAATGCAACATATTTGTCACCATATTCGCCTTTTCAGGTTACCTCTTTTGGAGTATTGGTAAAGATGCTACATGCTGTGATATTTTTGTCCATATGATTCGAAATCGGGTGAAATTTACAAATCACATAGTCTGCTGATGGAGAGTCTGTCTATTATTTTTTTTTTTAAAGCAATCTGAACAATGTTTTAAAATATTATATGTGGTTTATTTAAAAATCTAAACATAAATAGTCAAATAAAATATTTGACAAAAATTGGTAAAATAATTTACATCTAAAGTTAATAACCATTTTTTCCAAATCATGATTGTTTAAGCTATAATTTCATATTAAATTAAAATATTTTAACATTATTCAATAAATAGTGAACTATGAAAAGTGTTTAAATATCGTATATTTAATTTTTTTACTTAATTTGTAATTTTTATTAATATTATATTTTCTAGTAAATTGTAACTGTGTTTAATATAAACTGATTGAATTAAAATGTCATTATGGGTTAAAATTTCAAAGAATAAAAGAATAAATAAGTCCACAAGCAAACACTCTTTTAATTTTTAGGGATAGAGTTTAGATTGGTAAAAATCCTTCAGATTTCCTCAGCATTACACATTTAGATGTATTGTTTTCTATATTTTTCATGGCATTTTTTTTTTTTTATTTTTACATCACTAACAGTTATTTACACGTGAACGAGGAGGGAAGTAGAAAGAAAGTGAAAAAGGTGGGAAGTAGAAAAAATAAAAAGCTGAGTTTGGTAAGGATAAATGGAGGTGAAAGTTACGGATAATAAAAAAAAAATTCAGAGTAGAAAAAAAGGAATTATTATATTGTATTTTTATGTTTTATAACTGATTAGAGAAAATTCTAGATAACATTTTTATTTTTTTATAACATAATAATTATAATAATAAAATAAAATAAATTAGTATATATTATTTTTTCTTGACACTTTTTTAACTGTAATTCAATAATATATATATATATATATATATATATATATATATATATATATATATATATAAACGCTTATGTGACTTTAAGATAATTAAAAATAATTTTTTTGAAAATAATAGAGACACATTTAAAAAATATTCTGACACTCAATGTATTTTGAGAATAAGGGATATTGAGTCTGTTTCTATAATATGTGAAATATAATAAATTAAAAAATAATAATTAAAATTATACAAAATAATAATATATTAAAGATAATGTATAAATATCTTATTTTTTATAGATATGTGTTGGGTAGGTATTCCTAAGTTTAAATGTCGAGTTCCTTTAAGAATACTTGTCAAATGAGTTTAAGGTTGAGTTGATAATTTCATCATGTAGACGAGTAGTATTCGGTTTGAATGTGTTTATCCTAGAAACCATTATTCGATTAGATTGAGATATGTTCGTGAGATTTACTCAGTAGTACCTATTTGTTTGTCATGCAAAAGATAATGGGTCCAAATGTTTTGGAAGAGAAAAGAGGAGTTCGATAGGGCTCCTATCAATTAGGGGTGTCAATATGGGTTCTAACCCGTGAGCCAACCCGGTTCACCACGGATTCGAGTCAAGTTGGGTTCGATTTTTTTTTTTTTACCGATTATGGGCTAAAAATAAATCCGGCTCACTTAACCCACGAGTTAAATAGGTTCGAACCGGGTTATGGTGGGTTGGCCTCGCAACCCACCATTAATTTTAAATTTTAAAAATAATTATAATAATATACTAACCCTAATTAATTATTTATTTTAAATTTTAAAAATAATTATAATACTTTAGTAACCCTAATTGATGTTATCCTGTCTCACCTAAACCCTACATTGTTGGTTGTCGCCACAAGCCAAAGTCTCACTCAAACTTATTATCAGTTGTTCGCGCACCACTACGTTTGCCGCTGCACTTGGGACACTTGTCTTATCATCTGTCCACTGCACCACTACACCACCATGTCCACTATATTGCTTTCAAAGGTAAGAATTTGTACCATAACCTAAACGATTGGATTGATGAATCTTTATTTGAAAACTATAACATCTATACATTATTTGTTATTTGTTATTGATTTATACATATATCTCTTTAATATATGAATTTTTGACGTCTTTCTTTCAAATTAATTTACAGTATGAAATCTGAAACAATACAATCAAAGTATCAATGTAAATTGTATTGGTAATGATTTTATTATTAATGAAAAACCCAATGAGCCGATTTCAGTTAATAACAAAGATACTGATTTTGAGAAAGAAAGGAAGAAAACAAAAGTTTCTACATCCGAAGTTTCTATATCATTTAAAAAATTTAAAAAATATGGGTTAGTGAGCTAACCCACTTAACCCACCAACCCGTGGTAGGTTGAGCCGGGTTGTAAAATTTCTGGCTCGCCAAAAAGTGAGCCGGGTTGAACTCACCTATTTTCAGCTCAACTTGTGGTGAGCCAACCCATGTGAGCCGGGTTATCTCACTTTGACACCCCTACTATCAATCCCTGAGCTCAAGAAGATCATCTTGTGACGATCAAATGACCATAAGTGATACTTTGAGAGGAGACTCCCCCTTCCCCTAAGCCAAAATAGAACTTCGTTGATCTGAAAAATGATATACATTTATCATGTGCATGTATTATGATTATGAAGTTATAAATTGTCTTGTTCCAGGTGTTAGTAAACTACCAAAATATTACACTCATGACTCTGAGTAGAGTTTTTAAGATATAGATTTTGTTAACTTACACATAAATAAGGTATGTATAATCGTGTGACCTCGAGTAAGGTAAATACAGGTTTTAATAAGTTGTATACCTGAGTAAGGTACTATAACTCGTGTGACCCCAAATAAGGTACATAACTTACGTGACCTTGAGTAAGATATGTTTAATTCGTGCGAGGGTATATATCTTTTTGTCATACTAAATCACCTTTTTAAAAATTTCTTTTTACAACTCGTGTATTGCAACATTGAGCTTCTCTTTGTTTCACTGCTTTCTCTCATATCCAAGTTGAAGCTTGAACCTCGTCTATCAAATCCAACTAAACACAAAGGTTTTGTTGATTTTTCTCAAATATTTGTTACCTCTAAATTCAATTGGAATCATAACCTTTGCCTCATTTGTTAACATAAATGGAGTCTCTTTAATAGAGGACTATGGGACACAATTATTGTTGGATCTTTCTAGGGGGATTCACAGGGAAAAAACACAACAATGAGACATGAACCCAATCCACATAAGATATTAACATCACTCTCAACCCAAAACCTTAAGGCATTGGGTTATGGATCTTACTTTCTTATATGTTGCTCAACTTTCTCATTCTTACTCAATGTGGGACTTAACTCACACTTGGATTACCCAACAATTTTTCCCTCAAGTGTGAGTCCCTTCACATTGGTACATCCCCTTGAGCTCACCAATGGCCCTTCCATGTACCGTCGTTCACTCTAACGGGACACGCTTACCTAACCCACTCTATTAGGAATACTTTCGATACAAAGATCACTCTTTAACTGTTGATCAACCTTCAACTCTAATACCACTTGTTGTGAACACAAATGTAATATAAGATGAAAGTAAATAACAAGAACATAAGGAATTTACGTAGTTCAGTCAAAATGACTAACGTCCACGACTACACTAGATGATAGTTCTCATTCACTCAATTAGGTTTACAATTATATGAGTATTTATAATAAAAGAATAAGTAAATAGATCAAACTCAATAACCCTTCAGACTCCACATACTTAACAATTATAATCCCAAAGAATCTCAAGGGTTTCCTCAACCCATAGGACCTTAACATCTCCTAGTTTCTTTCTTAACTCTCCTAGTATTACTTTGTTGGCAACCTTAGTCTAACAATTCAATTGTAACACTCAGTGTGTTATATTGAGTTATTTCAAGAATTATTCTAGGTTTTTGTAATGAACTATTTATCATTATCAATAATTATTGCTTGTGGGAGACCATGTCAGCAAATAACATTTTTCGAATAAACTTTTGAATTTGTTGAGTCATTATTGAGAGAGGTTCAACCTTTATCCAATTGGTGAAGTAGTCTATTACAACTAAAATTTTACATGTGCCTAAACTATAGAAAATAGTCAAAGTATATCTATTCCCCATATGACAAATTGTGATGGAGAAGTAATGTTATATAGCTCTTTTGGTGGTAGGAAAAATATGGGGGCGAATTGTTGACACTTTTTGCCTCCCTTAACGAAGTTCTTTGAGTCAATCCTTAAGGTTGGCCAATAGTATCCTACTCAGGTAATTCTTTCAGCCATGCTTCTTGCTTGTGAATGGAGTCAACAAATGCTTTCATGTAACTCGACCATCACATATTGGGCTTGCTCTTGCCCTAGGCATTTTAAAAATGGTGAGGATATTTCTCTTTTATAAAGTTTATCATTACATAAAATGTAAAAAGAAGTCATTCTTTGTTTCTTCTTTACTTCACCTAGGTCATTAGGTAATGTATCTTGCTTAAGATACTTCTTTATAAGTGTCATCATGTGACCACCTCGATATTGACATGTAATACCTTTAGTCTATCCCGACTCGATGATGATCGCATTTCTTGAATAAGTATTCTATGTTGTCATGGTTTCTTAGTTTGATTGCAAATAACATATATAATTTGTATGATTTCGAATAAGGTATAATTTGTATAACTCTAAATAAGATATAATTCGTATAACCCCAAATAAGGTATATAATATATATATATATATATATATATATATATATATACCTTTAGTCTATCCTGACTCGATGATGATCGTATTTCTTGAATAAGTATTCTATGTTGTCATGGTTTCTTAGTTTGATTCCAAAT